TCGGGCCAAACTCGGGCCAAACTCAGAAGCCAAACTCGGACCAAACTCGGTCCAAACTCGGGCCAAACTCAGAAACCAAACTCGGACCAAACTCGGGCCAAACTCGGTCCAGGATCAGGTCAAGAGTTACTTTTTAAATCTTATTTTCAAGCTTTGACCTTAAAATGTAAAGAAATCTAGAGAGTTTCTGAGTCTTGTTTCAAAAGTCTCGCCTTCAAAAGTTAATGCACTTAAGTGAACAAAAAAAAAGATTTTCAAATGGTTTACCGGTTATCGATTAAAAGTGGATTGTCGACGAATCGCTGAACGAAACTCTCGGGTTTCTCGAAATCAATCTCAGTCAATAATTTGATCTCGATATTTCGATGATTGTTGTCTTTTTGAACCCAAAGGTAGTCGGGGTTTTCCTATGTGGAAAAATCGAATTTTTCTTTGTGCTAGAAAAATGTAAACACACCTTTTCTAGTGCACTGAATTCTCGATTCCTATGCGAGAGTACTAAGAGTAAGGCATAAAGTCCTATCTTGGGGGCAACGAGATACACTACTGGACAATGAAATATCATATTTGAAATATACTTTCGTCACTTTCGCGCGTCTGTAACTCCCTTGTCTTTACTGTATTTCTAAATATTAATATTACCATTGTGTAGCCCTTGAAAAGAGCTTTCAGAAAATGTATAACACTAAAAGTTTCAACTCAAAGACAAGGGAGTTACAGACGCGCGAAAGTAACGATCTTTTTTCAAATATGATATTTCATTGTCCAGTAGTGTACGTATCGGTGTAGCTGATTGGTAGAGCTGATTGGTAGAGCGTTGGCCCGGTAGAGCGTTGGCCCGGTAGAGCGTTGGCCCGGTAGAGCGTTGGCCCGGTAGAGCGTTGGCCCGGTAGAGCGTTGGCCCGGTAGAGCGTTGGCCCGGTAGAGCGTTGGCCCGGTAGAGCGTTGGCCCGGTAGAGCGTTGGCCCGGTAGAGCGTTGGCCCGGTAGAGCGTTGGCCCGGTAGAGCGTTGGCCCGGTAGAGCGTTGGCTGATTGGTAAGCGAGTGGTCACGGGTTTAAATCCCAACCCCAACCAATAAGAGGACCAGCGCGTTCAAGTCAAAGGTTATTAGAACGAAGATGAAAAATTCAATGCACCAGCTATGGCGTGTTTGCATTTTCGAGCTGTACACTTAACAATTTAGATGAAGAAAAAAAACCTTAGCAAACTCGATGAACTTCTCCTTTTCATATGGTAACTGAAATGCTTGTGGGACACCAATCGAGATATTCGCCGTTGCAAGAGCCACCTTGAAATAGGGTAAAGTCAACAATTGTTTACTTAAATAATCTTTTTACCTTACTTGTATAAAATCCCGATCCAGGTACATGATTGATGAGTTGATCGGGCGAAGCTCCATGGATTTGATGTCTAGAAGATTCAGTCTCTTATCGCGCTATCGTATATAAAGATTGTGCATAAGATATTTCGTTTTATCCCCCTAGTACCTATACAAATCATTGCTAAACGGGAACTCGTGAGTCCACATCACATCCCATTGAACATTTAGCGGTTGAGGTCCTGAAGATGTTCACATGAAAGTAGATTTTGCTAGTTAAAGTAAGCAATGGCAAGAATCTAGACGGAATTGAACCCACGACCTTCTACTTACCGTCTAGCGTCTCTACCACTGTGCTATAGATAGATTCTTTGCAAAAGAAGAAATAGGAAAGACAAAGAGAAGAGTAATGAGACTAAAAATGCAATTCAATACCCGTAATCACATGATATCCAAGTAAACGAAAGACTTCAAATATGTGTTTCATGTAGGTGGCTTCTAGCTAAATCTTGGCTTTTTTTTTTGAAAACTTGGTGCTTAAAAAGGTTAGAAAAAGCGTGAATTCAAAATTTAACATTCTCTCCAGGTCCATCGATCCAAGCAATTGGCAGCTGTTGAACGGATTGTTGTTGAAGCTCTTGTGGTACTTTCCTTCACATTTTCTCTTGTCTCTATCATTAAATCAAATTTACGTTGATTGTATTTGCAAGGCGAGTTGTAGGCAATATTGAAGCGGATCGGTGAGTTGATTTTGGATTGATTTCAATTCAAAAACCGTCCATGAAACAATAGCGATCCCGACAAGCAATAAGAGGCTCGTGGTACCGCCATTTAACATCTAAAATATGTAAAATATGTAAAATATCTAGAATAGAGTTCTTTAAAATGAAGATTATTAGCAAGTGAATCAAAAAAATCGTGTTTCATTTCAGTTTGCAATTCGCAATTTGCAGAAACGAAAAGTCGCAAAATCAATCAAGGACATCGAGAGATCTTTTTGAAAGAGAAAAACGATCAAAACACCTCATCATATTTCTCTCAAAATTGGGTGACAAGTTGGGGAGAGTTCAAGTGAAAAGAAACAGGGAAATCATTTGAAAATCGGTTTGTAATGATGGGGAAAAGGCGATGGTGCGTTCACTGGTTTAGTTGACTGGTTTGGTTGACTTGTTTAGTTGACTTGTTTAGTTGACTTGTTTAGTTGACTGGTTTAGTTGACTTGTTTAGTTGACTGGTTTAGTTGACTTGTTTAGTTGACTGGTTTAGTTGACTGGTTGATTCTGAAGAAATACAGGGTGGGCCAAAATTACCGTTACGTATAAAAAAGTTTCTGCATAAAAAGCAACTCAAAAAGTCAAAGATTTTTCTTAAAAATAAGTTTTATTGTCTCATAACAATTCATAAAAACTATTCCTTTTGAAAGAGATCTCCAACAGCTTTTACACAGGCGTCCAAACATCGTAGAAAAGCGTTGATCGTGGCGAGAAGGTATAGGAGAAGCAGCTCTTCCCAAGCCTTTTCGAGCGCTTTTTTCAAAATATCAACAGTTTTGTGTGGTTGATAGCGTCAACTGATAGCATTTGTGATTTATTTTTCTTGTAGGCCTTTCACTTGAGCTTGTTTTTCATGATTCTTCATGAAAAATCTTTTTTTTTTCATCCCTTCATGAAGGAATGTTCACTCTGTATCCCCATTTTTTTGTGACATTTTCCGCACCGCACGATAATAGCATTTTATCTAGAATTAACATTTTTTTCACCAAGTCATCAAGATCAATCAAGAAAACTGAATAAAGCATTGAACTCTCCAAAAAACAAAAACTCTTTGCACCTTTACAATCATTCGACAAAGTCTAGTTTTTCGTGTGTGTCAAATAAAGTTTCAAGAAAATGATTTTATTCTATTTTGTTGCAAATTTGCGAATCTTGAAAACGGGATATTGATAATTGATCAAAATGATCATCTTGTCATCTTGGGAAGTTTTGAAGAAGTACTGCTCCATTTGATGCATAAATGAAATCCCAAAACTGATCGAAAGTTCCCTTTTTTCAACTATAACATTTCAAATATTGCTTCAATTTGATTAAAAATCTTTATCATCTCAATATTTGTTCATTCAATCGATCAAATCAAAAAAAGTTTAAGGGAAAAAGAGAAACAGAGCGATCGCACACAAAATCAACCACATATGTTTCGCTCAATCAACAACGAAAATGAAAAAGAAAAGGTAAACAAAAAAAAAGATAATGGCACATAATCACTTCTTCTGATGAAATGCTTTTTGTAATGATTTTGTTGAATAGTTTTGACCAGGAAATGATGAAAGAGAGAAAGAGAGAGAAAGAGAGAGAGAGAGAGGGGGGTGGGACAAATGCGACCTTTTTTTGCGCACCTTTTTTTTGCTGGAAAAGGCCTTAGGCAAGGCCGTAGAGCTTCGAAAATATTTCCATATAGGGAATCGTATGCGTAGATTCCGAATTTCGACAAATCACACCTCGCTGACACGTCAAATTTGGGCTAAAAGGCAAAAACTGCGGAAAAGCGTTAAGTTGCGTAGTTTTTGCCTTTTAGCCCAAATTTGACGTGTCAGCGAGATCTGATTTGTCGAAATTCGGAATCTACGCATACAATTCCCTTCTATGAAAACATTTTTGAAGCTCTACGACCTTTCCTAAGGCCTTTTCCAGCAAAAAAAAAAGGTGCACAAATGTCCAGGTGCGCAAAAAAAAGGTCGCATTTGTCCCACTCCCTGAGAGAGAGAGAGAAAGAGAGAGAGAGAAAGAGAGAGAGGTAAAAATATGGTATGTACATGAAGGGACAACAATTCGAAAATTTCAAATGAAAATTGTGAAAGTTCAAGAAAGATTTTTGACAGAATTGAATTTGGAATAAGCGAATCGAGAGATTTGACAAAGAATTTTGAAATTAAAGAAACCTTTTCGTAGTTTGGGAACGATTGTTCAAACCTATCAAATACAAGTACGATGATTGTTTAGATTTTGAAATAAATCGTCCTGAAATTTCAAGAAAGATTGGGACAAAAATAGAAAACTTTAGAGTTACAAGTTTTTTAGAATATTTTAAAAGTTTCTTTTATAGGAAAACACCGGGATTTTTGTAGTGTTTAACCGGGGAAAATCTACAGGTACAGTACTGGACAATGAAATATCATATTTGAAAAAAGATCGTTACTTTCGCGCGTCTGTAACTCCCTTGTCTTTGAGTTGAAACTTTTAGTGTTATACATTTTCTGAAAGCTCTTTTCAAGGGCTACACAATGGTAATATTAATATTTAGAAATACGGTCAAGACAAGGGAGTTACAGACGCGCGAAAGTGACGATCTTTTTTCAAATATCATATTTCATTGTCCAGTAGTGTACGTGTCGGTGTAGCTGATTGGTAGAGCGTTGGCCCGGTAGAGCGTCGGCTGATTGGTAAGTGTATTTAGGGCAATAAACAAAGTTTCGTAGTCTTGACAAAAAATTTTGAAATAAAGAAACCTTTTCGTAGTGTCAAATGATGAGAGTCAAAAAAAAAAGTGGCACAATAAGAGTTTTGTATTTTGATGTGGGTGATAGAAGAAAGATCTACTTATCAAGAGTTTAATAGAATCGAACACTATCGTACACTTGTCTGTAAGGCTACGATAACTTTTTTGTTCGATAAGTCAACTTTTCAATCATCTCCAAACGGTTGCAGGGTGTGCCATTGAGCGACAGAACGTCGCGGGGTGGCTAACATGTCTTGCCATTGCTTTAGCGCCACGCCATTCGCGTTGTTCCCGATTATCACCTGAAATAACGATCGTTTTTGAAAGCTAGAGGATAGTTTTCTAGTTTAGAACTAGGTATACAATAGAAGCTTATCAATCGTATAGAAGCTTATCGTAGATTATCGAAGGTTTTCATTTGTAAGCACAACTTTCTATTAATTATGACTGGAATCTCTTGGTTTAAAATGGTAGAAATGATAGAAATATTGTAGAATTATGGTAGAAAGATGGTAGAATGAAAGGAATACTTATCAAAAGATTGCTAACTCGATACTTTGATGGTTTGGAGGTGCCACTTTCGGCTTGCTTAATCGAATCTAGTGTTTTGAGTGATCCGTGTCGATAATTTTCTTTTATTCTGAAGAAAGAGATATATGCTTTGAGGCGATTTAAGCACGTTTTTGAAAATCCTATGATTTGTCCTGCCTGTTGTACTTTAACCTGTATCTCAAATCTATGATTTCATTTGAAAAGCTGCAATACTAACTTGAAACATGTTTTTGAATAATATATAAATGATCTAATACGCTAAAGTTAGCACCGATTCAGCATAGATAATTAGAATAGAAGAATAGAATAGAATAGAAGAAAAGTATCTACACGAATCGCTCAAAACACTAGCTACATCAAAGCCAAGCCAAAAGTGGGCTTTTCCAGCCATCAAAGCTTTTCCAGCCATCTCTAATTCTAAATCTTCTCTTGAAAAACTCACTTGTCCAATTCTTTCATTAGAGCCGACTCTGTCATAATCAGAGACAATTACGTGAAGATGCACTCGCTGAAAGAGAAATTTTCTGGGTTGAAAAGAAATTCTAAGACTTGGTGTTTAAAACTGTTTAAAATTAGTGTTTGCTTTAAAGGGGTACTCCGGCCTAAAAGTCGACTTTCAAGAATCGCGATCATTTATATATTATTCGATGCGTTTTAGTCTCCTCTACAATTATTTCCTATATGAAAAACAAGATTTCCAATTGAGAAATGAAGAAAAACGCAATTTTTACTTTCCGCCCCACCCTAAAACGTGGATGTTTGAGCAAAATGTATATAAAGGTTCCGTCCAATTGCATTTTAGCACTTGCGTTCGGGTAGGCTAATTTCCGCAATTTTATTTACGCAACTGGGTCGTACTGGTTCAACTGGGTCAACTGGGTCGCAACTGGGTCGCAACTCTCCATAACTTTCTTCTAAGTCGATCAATCTTTATGATTTTGGTTTCATTTTGTAGATCTCAATAAGTGCAACAAGATGAAATCAAAATCATAAAGATTGGCCGGCTTAGAAGAAAGTTATGGAGAGTTGCGCAAACGACCCAGTTGCGCAAATGACCCTGTTGCGCAAAAAAAATTGCGGAAATTAGCCTACCCCTTGCGTTCTTTTCTTTTGCATGTATTTTCTCAAATTTAACAGTAACTCTAAATATTTTTAAATAGAAAACATTACATTCTAAAAGAATAACTTTTTAAAGTTGAAAAACAGACTTAAGAAGTGCAAGTGAAGTAAAAAAAACAAGTGCTCAATGACTTTCCTTTGGTCGGACTACCCATTTAAGATATAGGATTGATCCCATAAAAAGCCTTGTTCTATCAAATTGAATCCCATTTCCCATTCATCTAGCTGATAATCATAATAATATCAAATAAAATCGACGTTAGTTTATCAACTTGTTCACCTGCATTTTCTCTGGCGGTACATCAAAGCTAAACGATTCATTGTAGTATGGATTGAGGGTTTTCATCTTGATTGTCGTCTTTTTCTTTTCCAATCGCTTATTTTGCATCATCAAGTAGATTTTCACATAAGGATCTAAATGGTTTTCAATGTTTTTTTGTTTGAGAATTTCCCCTCTACTAAACCTGACAATCCAAGGACGTCCATTTTCTTCAAATTTTTACACTCCATCACCACAACGGAGAGCTTGTTCTTGTTTGGGACGTAGCGAAGCGCTAAACAAACCTCACCCAAACGATTTTCCTGAAAAATTTCAAGTAGACTTTTCAATTTTCGTTTTCATTTCCCTACCGGTGGACTCTCGATGAGTACAGTTTGTTCAATCGTTGAAGCTAAATCTATTCGACCCAATGCCACTGAAACTTGACCAATCTGAATGATAATTTATTAGAATTTGAATTGGTGAACTGTCCAGTTATCGCTTTATCGCATTTTTGCTTTTTTTTACAAACCTGATCATGTTTTCCGAATCGATCAAAATCAAAAACGTTTAAAACAAGCGTTTGACTAGCCACTTCATTGAAAGGGATCTAAATTTGAAATTTCAATTACTCACAAAATGTTTTACGTTATGTTTTACGTTCTAAAGTGTGTCCGATTATTGTAATCGTGCTTTACTGGGTTACGGTAACGTTTATTATGGACTACCGTAACGAAAACGCTTTAGGAAGAGTTTAGATGTAAAGTGACACAACAGAGTGTTGGTGTTGACTGCTAAATTAGACATGGGTGTGGACTACAAACTACAAGCTCAGACTACAAACCCTTTGTAAAAACACGCAGAATGGATATTTTTGAAAGCTTTTTTACCAAAAAACTCGGTCAACTTTAGGCTTTCGAATGACACCAAAATCAGGCCAAATCATGCTCTCAGCACTGAGATATAACGTTTTTCATTTTTTCAGTCAATTCATCATTTTTACTATAAGAACGAGCCATTTAAAGCTGTTTATAGCCTCGTCCCATGGGATGAGACTACAAAACTTGGAAAAAAAAAAAACGTTATATCTCAGTGCTGAGAACAGGATTTGGCCTGATTTTGGTGTCATTCGAAAGCATAAAGTTGACCAAATTTTTTCGTAAAAAAACTTTTCAAGAGTATCCATTCTGCGTGTTTTTACAAGGCTTTGTTGTCTGATCTTGTAGTTTTCTACTGCTAGTTATAAATATGGAGAATTTCCGTTCAAGAACAAACGAAACTCTTATTCTTCCTTTATTCTTTTTTGTTAAGATCTTTTTTTGTTATTGACAAGAGTTTTTCCAGAAATTTTGGCTTCAGCTGATTGCCCCATTCAAGCCCACTTTTCGAGCTCTTTTTCCATTTCTTTTCCCCGCATAAGCTATTATATAAATTGACATTTGAACTCTTGAAAATTGCGAAAAATTGAATATAAGACTTAAAGACTTAAATTGAATACCGTATTTTCTCTAATAGTAGTGCACCCTGGCCTAAATTCGTCGAAATCTCGAGAACCGCTTATCAGAACCTATTGATGTGGGGTCGGAAAATGTAGCTGACGATCAGATCTAGTGGGGGATTTGAGTGTTGAGCTTCTGTGAAAACTTTGAAACCGTAAAATAGTCACCAACTCGGCTCGCCGGGGTGCACTACTTAAATGAATTTTGTCAATTTATTTTTATCATTTCTAGCAATAAATCTAACAAGTAAACACAAAATAAATTAATTTTCTCGAAAAAGGAAAAGAATTTTTAGTGAGCTACGATTATTACCCCGCACAAAGAGAGATGAAAAGAATACGGCAGTTCTAAAAGCTCAAAGATTTCAGGATTTCAGGACTAACTCCATTCACATGGAATCGTTCACCGAAACATTACCGAAACATAAACATTACACGATTATTACCCTTCCCCCGCCTTTAAGGTCGAGAAGTGAGCAAATAGCAAGTAGCAAGTACAGCAATTGAATGAACGCAAGACAAAATGTAAATCCAAATCCAAATCCAAATAATATGTTACTCTCTATTTAAAATTTTGTCTAAAGACAAACCTTAAATGTGAAAGTTTCGTTGAAAACCGGGTTGAGGGATTTTCGTTGGACTTTTGTTTGAAATTTCTTTTTCTTGTCGGGCAGAAGAAATAATTTCACGTAGGGATCTGAAAAATAACAAAGATTTTGTTAAATAAAACAAAGTTTGAATACTCTTAACAAAGTGGGCTCTCAGTTTCCTTACCCGATGTTCCACCCAAATCCATTGCCGGCAATTCCTCGGCTTGAATGATCGTCACCGATAGTGCATTTTTATCAAAATCATAGTCAAGTTTATAGGTTAATCGTCCCAAAAATTTCTTCTCCTTTTCATCGTCTTTCTTTTTTGTTAATGACATATCTGAAAAAGAGATTTTTTTTTTAAATTAATCACTGGAAGAATCACCAAAGTTATCCCAACTTTGGTCTTAACAAAAAAGAAAAGAAATGCAAATTTGACAAGAATTTCTTTGATGTGGAAATAGGAAAAAGAAAATGAATTTGATATTCTCTAAATTTTTAGGTTTCAGTTGAGTTAATGGAAGTGGTTTCGATTCTGAGATCGAAAAGTTCGGAAGGGGCTGCTAGAAAGGTTCCTTTCGCTTTCTAGGCTCATTTCTAGCCTTTTCTGCAAATATAGCAAAGACTCTAATATATTTCCGATTGGTAAATCCGCTAAAGCCTGCCGAATTCGAGAGTTTAAATCTCCAAGGTTAGCCCAAACTACGAGTGCCTGAGAAAGAAAACTATCTTTTTTTTAGCGCATTCCTTGTCCGCGGAAAACAACAATCATGTTCCAGAACCGATTTTTTTTTCAGAACTACTATTACTTGCTTGCCTGATCCTGGAAGAGCTTGAGATTTGGTGGAACAAAGGCAATAATACTAATGACTTGAATGTTAGCTGAGATTCAGAAATTTCTCAGAAACAAATTTTTGGTCTATTGCCTGAAAAGGACTCGGTTTAGTCAAAGGCTCCAGATTTAGATGGAAAAAAAGTGCTGTACAATTCTTTTGTGTTTTGTAAAAACAAATTTAGATATTGCAAATTGTTAAAAGAGCCAATCTACATGGAGTGAAGAGTGACGGGGTAAAGGGTAAAGAGAGGGGAAGGGAAGGGGGAGGGGAAGGGGGAGGGGAAGGGGGAGGGGAAGGGGGGAGGGGAAGAGGGAAAGGAAGAGGGAAAGGAAGAGGGAAAGGAAGAGGGAAGGGAAGGGCTTTGTGGGATGAAGGGCTTGGGCCTGGGTGAGAGGGTAAAGGGAATAAAAAAGGGCAAAGAGGCTGAGCTCAATTATCAAATTCTCACGAGTGAAATTGGACACGCCACAAAAATAAAACGAAAGGGGAAGGAGCAAGCCTTTTTTGGGGAATCAAGGGGTAAAGAAGAAGAAGAAAAATTGACAAAACAAATTAATTTGGGTCTGGGTAAACAGTCGATAACCTTTTTCTTTGAAGATTATGAAATTTAGAAGATTTTTGGGGGTTTATCCGTCTAACGAGCACGTGTGGCTGACTGGTTAAGTGTCTTTTATCTTAATCGGAAGGTCGAGGGTTCGAACCCCACATGCGACATGGTCACCCCCTTCGGATTTCCTTTCCCTTCGGGTTGAGAGGTTTTCTGGAGGGCAGTCTGGTGGTTGTGGCCCCAGTTCTTTAAAGTGACAAGCCACTCCTTCATCGTCATCTTCCCTTCACCACCAAAAAAGCTATTTAGTTCCCCATTGAGCTTAGAGTTAGGGAGCCGTCTGTCATGACGTGGGTTAAGTTAAGATATAGCCTAGTATTGTGTGTGTCGTTGTATTGTGATTGATATATTTCGTGTATGCGATAAATTCACCACTGGTAGCCCCAGTCGGTATTTTTTAACGAAGCAAGTTCTTTGAAGTTTTTGATTGAAATTTGAAATTGTTTAGTTTAAAAAACATTAATTGATAGATTTATTTAAAATAGACTTATTTGAACTGCTTTTTAATCATAAAAGATTAGCATTTTTCAAAAGTTACATGACATTTCTTGGGCTTTGAGCTTTCTTGGGCTTTGAGGGTTTTTTTTTTGGAAAAGAGCTCCCTAGGGAATTCCTTAGCAGCCACACAGCTGACAACAAACTATTTGGGTTTTTAATCGACTCAAATTGATGCTTTGTTTTAGAATATGAGAAAATATCTTACTATTGGCTTGGTTTTCAGAAATGGTGAAAACTTTGGAAACAATAAATGGTAATCATTTAGAAAATTCGAGATTCACAACAAGAAACAAGAAAAAGTTGCTTAGATGGAAAATTATACAAAAACAATTCTTTAAAGTTGTTGATTGTTTAAGAGATTTCACTTTCAAGAAAGATTTTTGAGGTAGATTTGTTTATTCTTCTCTCTTCTTTCTTTCTTTCTTTCTTTCTTTCTTTCTTTCTTTCTTCTTTCTTTCTTCTTTCTTTCTTCTTTCTTCTTTCTTTCTTCTTTCTAGACTTATCTATCGGCTCAAATTGATGCTTTAGTTTTAGATTTATAGTTTTAGTTGTTTTAGATTTTAGATAAATAGATAATTAAGTAGATTTTAAATAAATAAACAAATAAATAGATAAATAAATAGATTTTAGATAAATACTAGACTTATCTATCGATATTTATATTCAGGTTAACAACTTTCCGATCACCGTTTTTGATAAACACTTTTGACATTTTCATAAACATTTTCAGGTAAAGCTGTTTTCAGAAACAAAAGTCCATTCGCATTAAAAGATAGATCAGATATTGCTCTATAAAGTATTTTTTGAGACATTGCGAAAAGCTTTTATTTGAGGCATTTTTTTTTAAACAAGTTCAAGCCCATATCCCAAGTCCAATTTTCGAGGGACCTTTTTTTTTTGCAAAACGACATTTAGAAAAAAAAACGATAACTTTTGCGGCAATCAGAAACTGAGTCTGTAAGGTAAACGTAAATTTTGAGCTTTATCGATCTTTTAATAGATAAATCTATTGGTCAAGTTCGTTGCAGAACTTGAGAAATTTAAATTTAAAATCTAAAAGCTGAGTAAAAGCATTTGCCGTTTGGAAAAATGAGCCCCATCTTGAGAGACCTCAATTCTCAACCTCAATTCTTCTGAGCTTTTTGCAATCGGCTAGCAAAAAGAAAAAAAAGAAAAATGACGTGAAAATGTGATGTGAAAAGGAAGGATTGATGAAAAATCGTGGGGAAAATTGGGAATAGAAGATATTGGAAACGATTTGAAAAGAATGGGGAAAAGGTCAACATATTGGAAATGGGGAAAATGAAGGGGAAAGGGTTAAAATGAAGGGTACACCAGGAGGAGTGGGTTTCCGTTTTTAGAGCACTGTGGCCAAGAGGCGAATTAAAGAGTTTGAACCCGGAAAAGGATCCCATTGTCAGCTATTGCCCAAAGAAAAGTGTTTGCATTTCTTTCGATTTCTATGGTGATATTTTGGTTGAAAAGCTTTTTTTGATAAGGTCGAGGAATGAATTGGAATTTTGATTGATTAACCGTTGAGAAAGAAGAGTGATGGAGTGATGGAGAATGGCACTCGTCGATGACACGTTCAATGAAGAGATGAAATTAAAATTAACTATAGCTATCTTGACTTTAGCCTGGAATTTTTTGAGTAAATCAAGTATCAATTTAGCTCAAGCTCATGTTTAGCTCAAGTTGAGCTGGTGACTCTTATCGCAGTGTGGCTGCTAGGAATCCTAAGCCTAAGCCTAGGAATCCTAAGCCTAGAAATGATAAGCCCAAGCCTAGGAATCCTAAGCCTAAGCCTAGAGATCCTAAGCCTAAGCCTAGGAATTCTAAGCCTAGAAATGCTAAGCCCAAGCCTAGGAACCCTAAGCCTAAGCCTAGAGATCCTAAGCCTAAGCCTAGGAATCCTGAGTCTAAGCCTAGGAATCCTGAGTCTAAGCCTAGGAATCCTGAGTCTAAGCCTAGGAATCCTGAGTCTAAGCCTAGGAATTCTAAGCCTAGGAATGCTAAGCCCAAGCCTAGGAATCCTAGGCCTAAGCCTAAGAATCCTAAGCCTAAGCCTAGAGATCCTAAGCCTAAGCCTAGAGATCCTAAGCCTAAGCCTAGGAATCCTGAGTCTAAGCCTAAGGATCCTAGCAGTCACACTGCGTGTCCTAGCCTAGGACACAATATAGGAAACCACATAAGTTAAACGAAAGATTCACAAGAAAATCTTTAAGGTCAGAAAAGAAGACTTTGAAAAAGATCAGGTTTTTAGAAAAGACTGTACTTGATTCTAAATTCAACTAGTTAGTATCATATAAACGATAAACTTGAATGTAAACAAGGGTTTAACCAATAAAAACTCGAATATATCTATCTAGATACCAATTTCCGATTCAATATTGCTGACTATCGCAATACTAATTTCAAAATTTTCTGGTTAAAATTTCGATTCATCAAAAAAAAAACCCTTAAAAGAGAAAGACCAGTGGATTCTGCGGGAATTTCCCCCCTCGAATTCTCTCGTGTGTAGTCGTGATTGTGTAGCCCAAACATTTTCGGCATTTTCTTCTCAAAAAGAATAAAAGCAAGCGAACCAAAAAGGAAATCCAACGAAAATTCTTTAGTCTTAACGTAAAAAGAAAACAAGAAAGAAAAATTTCTAAAAGTTTCTGTTGGAGTATCACTGTTTGATAGTTGATAAACAAAAGATTGAGGAATGTAAGCTAATGGGTAAATTTGTGAATGTATCATGATGTATCAATTTGTGAATGTATCATGATTCTGATCATGATCAGAATCAATGAGCTTTGGAGGTGATTACCCAGTTTTTTTTTCCAATCCAATCCACCCAACAATTCCAGCAGCTTTCCCTAAAGCTTGAGGATCATTTTGAGTTTAAAAAGATAAATTTCTTGTTATTCGATCGTTTATAAGTATTGTAAGCTAATGGGTAAATTTGTGAATGTAATTTGGTGGGTATATTTGATCTTATTATTGGCTTCGTTTTCAGAAATGGTGAAAAATTTGGAAAAAATAAATGGTAATCATTTAGAAAATTCGAGATTCACAACAAGAAACAAGAAAAAGTTGCTTAGATGGAAAATTATACAAAAAACAATTCTTTAAAGTTGTTGATTGTTTAAGAGATTTCACTTTCGAGAAAGATTTTTGAGGTAGATTTGTTTATTCTTCTTTCTTCTTTCTTTCACAACTGAAACAACAACTGAAATACTTATAAACGATCGAATAACAAGAAATTTATCTTTTGAAATGAAATGAACATGAAATGAACCTCAAGCTTTAGGGAAAGCTGCTGGAATTGTTGGGTGGATTGGATTGGAAAAAAAACTGGGTAATCACCTCCAAAGCTCATTGATTCTGATCATGATCAGAATCATGATCAGAA